TGATGTCAGTTTAAAAGGTGTATGAAAGTTGGGGGTGAAGATGTTTTTGTTTTCCTTAATATATTTATTGATATTGGCAAAGTGTGTTCGATCAAATGATTGTGACTCTGGTGTGGTGAAGGTTGTTTTGTAGCATTCGTGGAATATATTCACTTTTTCATCATCTGTTGTAGCAGATTTGTTGTCGTGTGTGATTGTGTGGTGAACATGAGTTGTGTTGTCTTTACAGATAGTTTTGAATTTTTTCCAGAAAAGTGCGAGGTTGGTTTGATTGGTGTCTATTGCCAGTTGTCTTGTTGTTTTTTGAGATTTTTGATTATGAGACCTTGCATGTTAATGAGTGTTTTGTAGGTTGGGTTGCATGTTTGGATGAATAGTCATCTTATTTCGAGTATATGAGAGTGGATTATCGGTGTGAGATTTCAGTCTAGTTTTTGTGTGCTGTGAGGGTATGGTGTTGAGTAGTGATTTGTTGATTGCTTCAGTGATTTTATTGATATATATGTATCAATTTCCTTATAATTGATTGCTATGGAGAGTAAAGTTGAAAGGGTTGATTAAATTTAGTCCAGTGAGCTTTTGTGAAGTTGTATAATATTGTGGTGTTGTGTTTGTGTGTTATTAATATTTAGGTTGAATGATATCGGATTGTGTTCACTTTCTATGTTGGAGTGTATGCAGAAGTTGTGAGAGTATTGGAGGAGATTATTAGAAACTATGGCGAGGTCGAGAATGTCTTGTGATCCTGTGTGTGTGGGGGTGTTGTCATTAAGTAATGATAAGTTGTTGATTTCATTGAAATTGTGTAAGAGTTGACCATTGCTATTGGTTTAGTTGCAATGAAAGTCTGTGTGCTTGGAGTTTAGGTCGGCTAGTATTATTGTGTACAAGGTATTTTGTGAGGTCTGATATAGGAGATTTGTGTCAAGGATTTTAAACTGTGAGACATATGCTGCAAGTAAAAGTTATTTTATGAAAATTAGATGGATTGATGGTGCATATGATCTGTTCATTAGTGGTTGAAAAGTTTTGTGTGGGGAAAGTGATTTTTGGTGTTTTTTGTATAGGAGGGTTAGGCCTCTGATATTATTCAATTTAGGAATAGATTTAGACTTAAATGTTGGGAGAGTGAATTTGTTTCGTGGGTTTAACAAGGTCTTGTTAATAACTAAGATATCAGTGTTAAGTGATTGTGTGAGGTTGTATAATTCGTATTTCTTTGTCTGTAAGCCACGTCAAATGTTTATTTGACAGAAGTTTAGCATTTACCTGGTCAAGGGTCAAAGTCTCCTGGTGAGACGGCCCATAAGTAGTTCCAGGGAATCAGGGTTATGGTCTGGGATGTCGAAATAGAAAAATACTGGCGTCACAGGCGTTGAACAGTAGTTCGTTTGGTGATCTAATTTTGTTGTTCCAGACTGTCCTGATCGGGTTGGTAACGAAAGTGATCAGGGCATCTATGGGGATTGTCTAGACCAGGGCAGACATACTTTTGGTGGTATGGACGTATGATTTAGTTGTTACTAGGGTGTTCGTCACGGTGGTAATGACATAGTTTGGTGGTGGCTGTGTTGACTTGCTGGGGAGAGGAGGAAAGTCTTGAATGACTGACTAGTGTCTGTCCTGCTGAGTTGGTTCAACTGATAGGGTCGGGGCACTCGGGCTGGTGGGTCTTCCCTTTCTCAGTACTAGTTGGTACTTGGCACAGCCTCTGTATGAGGACATTTGTGTGCCACCACAGTTGGCACAGGTGGCGTTTTGCCGTTTGTTTGGGCACTCAAGGATGGGTTATTTTCGGTGCAGCAAACACACTTCATCCACGATGTGCATACTGCCTTGGACTGGTCAAATTTTTGGCAGTTAAAGCATTGAAGTACGGGTGGTTGGGTAGATTTGGCTGCTTCCACAGTGTATTGCACAAACAATAGGTTTACCCTGCTCTTGATTAGGTCTTGGGCTGTTTTGTCCAATTTGATCTTGACTCAGACTAGCACGGTTTCTTGACCCCTTCTGGCTGACTTGAATCTTTCAGCTTTTGAAATTACAATGTTTTGCAGGCAAAGTTCCTCTGTTATTTCTTGGCTCTAGATGTCAAGAGGAACTCTGCAGATTATGATTTGGGAGGCTTTGTCGATCCTGTCTTCACCTGGTACGTGAGTTGTGATGGTTGCATCCTGGAAGATGGGGACTGGCCAGGGTTTAACCCGATGACTACTGGCTACTAACTTTCTTAGTAGGCAATGCGAGTCTTGCTATATTTCATTCCAACAATAAAACTAGTGGATGAAATTGTTTAAAACTTCATAAGAACTTTCATAAATGTATGTTGTTTAAGAAACATAAAGCCTATTACTTTTGATAAATTTAGTTTTTT